AGAATATTGTAAGAATGGACTACCTGTGGGAAGGCAATAAACAGTTCCATTATTATAGGCGCTGTTTGGGGCACCATCACATCAAACACAGTACTATTCTATAGAGGTGTCATACAAGACTGGTCTTGGGTTTCAAGTTCAGTCATTGCTTATATATGCACATACACTACCCCTCCTCTGTTTCTTTCAGAATGTTTATTGCAGCCTTTTATTGACTTCATGATAAATACAACATTATTACAAAACCTCTTCGTGGACTGAATAAACGAAGTTTGTTTTTTTATCTCTAAAAATTTAAATAAAGACACAGAACATCACCTTTGACAGAGTTCTGAGATTTTTCCTAATCTCACAGCCTGGCCCAGCACCAGAGCACATCTTTTAATGAAACACCAGTTTTATACCTTTGATATACCTTTGAAGAGTTTCAAGAGAGTATCTACTCTCTGAGCCCAGCCATGGGCCAGGCTCATCTGGTGCTTGCCTGGTCAACCAGGCTGTTGCTGCTGAAGGCCCGCTGCCCCACATATCCATCACAGCCTGGGTGATCTGGCACCTAGTGAAGATACTTGTCCAGTTTCCTCTTGAAGGCTTCTACACTGGTTCCAGCCGTGTTTCTGATATCTTCTGGCAAGATGTTGAATAGTCTGGGACCCCGGATGTTGATACAGTGTTCCCTTATTGCACCCCTGCTCCTCACTGGGTTTATTTTACACTTCTTCCCATATCTCACTCCAGTATGTTGTTATGGCAGTGTGCAGATTTCTATAAGTACATGTACAAGGTATACAGGCATAGCTGACATTAATGACACACTACTATATAGAAAGCCACTTGTTCTGCAGAGCATTTCATGTAAATTAGGCCAGTTTTGTCCCAGGATGCGACCCACACCAGTCGACTAACACCCAGGTACCCATTTTACTGATGGGTGAACAGACCACTAGTGTAAGGAAACACGTCCAATGTTTCCACCCCTTTGAACCCGGACCCTCACCCTGTGAAGCAAGAGCTTTTGTCACCAGGCCACAGGGCCTGGACAGCAGTGTCTTAAGGAAAAATGTCCTAATGTTTCCACTTGTAGACGGGAAAAAGCAGTTTCAAGTACTAGCCTACTTAGATACAAGGGGATTTTCAGGAAACTCTCATTTATTAGTTGAATTCCTCCTGTACAGAAGGTAATACAATGGAAATAATTCATTGTTTGAATTTACTATAGTGAGTTATCATAGATTAAATATATACTATAATTTAATACACGTGCATGACTAACTTCTACTGTCTGTGAAACCACTTGTAGATTTTCCTATACAGAACTTACTCCCTGACATAAGTTTTTTCTTTTCTTTTGTACCCATGTCTAGAATAATAGGTGAAGAGAAGTACTGCATTTTGTTATTACTGTATATTTTAAATATCTTCATATTCCATACTTTTTTTGTCGAAGCACAGAACTATGATGACCAGTAAACTACAGCACTATATATGAGCCAGTTTTGTGTTCATTATGCAATCATTTGTGTAAGTTTATTTAGGTATAGGCACACAAGTACAGATGTAAGATAACCCCCAGAAAAAGCCAGACAGTGACTTATTTTCACTGTCTGCTTGCCTGCCTGCCTAAGGAGGAACTTGATCCAGGCTTTTAAAAATACAGAATGTATATTGTTCACAATCAGCTCTGATAAACTAGAATTAGAGCTGAGCACTACATCCTTCACTTCTAGTTATCATATGATTACATTGTAATGTCATCCTCTGTACTCTTTCCTGTCTCAATTTTAAGAAATTTCTACCAACTTAATGTTCAAGGGAAAAATGAAAGCAATGGGTCAAATACAAAGAGGGAGAAAGCACCAAGGACAAGTATGATTAATAGTAATGGGGAGAGGCATGCCCAAAGTGGGAAAAGATGGATTATCAAAGAGGAAAGGGATGCCCAGACAGAGGAAAGAGAGACAGACAGAGAGAAAGAGAGACAGAGACAGAAAGAGACAGAGAGAGACAGTGTTTCTTTCCCCTGCCCCCTCCCCTGTCTCATCTGCGACTGCTTGACAGAGTAGAGAACAGAGCAAGACGTCTCATCTCTCGCCTGGACCAATCCTGGATAGATCTGTCATTTCAGCAGAGCCTTCAACACAGGAGGGATGCGGGTGGCCTTACTGTTATGTACAAGGTCAATATTGTCAAAGTACTACACTTGGCTCCACTTCAAGGACAGTGTGAAGCAAGTTTCTATACCACAAGACGGGCAGCCAGCAGCAACTTCACTCTGGCTGTAACCTTCTCCAGAACATCAATTCATCTGAGATCATTTATCCCCAGGATGACTCAAGTATAGAACACATTTGTACAGCATTATGATGTCAGCGAGATAAAGTCAGTTGATCAGATGAAAATGCTGGCCCACAGATGGCTCCAACTTCATCCTGTTCCCTACTTGTATGTTTCATAATAATTTGATACACAGGGACAATAGTGAGGGATACACAGGGACAATAATGAGGGATACACAGGGACAATAATGAGGGATACACAGGGACAATAATGAGGGATACACAGGGATAAAGATGAGTGATACACAGGGGCAATAATGAGGGATACACAGGGGCAATAATGAGGGATACACAGGGGCAATGAGGGATACACAGGGGCAATAATGAGGGATACACAGGGGCAATAATGAGGGATACACAGGAACAATGGTGAGGGATACACAGGAACAACGGTGAGGGATACACAGGAACAATGGTGAGGGATACACAGGAACAACGGTGAGGGAAACATAGGAACAATGGCGAGGGATACACAGGAACAATGGCGAGGGATACACAGGGACAATGGTGAGGGATACACAGGGACAATGGTGAGGGATACACAGGGACAATGGTGAGGGATACACAAAGACAATGGTGAGGGATACACAGGGACAATTGTGAGGGATACACAGGGACAATGATGAGGGATACACAGGGACAATGATGGATATACCGAAGATGGAATATACACCAAGAAAGGTGTATACACAAAGATACATTCACAGACAAGGTGATGGAGGAACAGGCAGAAAGGTGTAGGGACAGACAAAGATGGAGGCACAGAAACAAAAGTGGTGGAGGCACAGAAACAAAAGTGGTGGAGGCACAGAAACAAAAGTGGTGGAGGCACAGAAACAAAGGTGGTGGGGGCACAGAAACAAAGGGGGTAGAGACACTAACAAAGGGGTGGAGGCACAGAAACAAAGGTGGTAGAGGCACAGAAACAAAGGGGTTAGAGGCACAGAAACAAAGGGGGTGGAGGCACAGAAACAAATGGGGTGGAGGCACAGAAACAAAGGGGTGGAGGCACAGAAAAAGGGGGGTGGAGGCACAAACAAATGGGGTGGAGGCACAGAAACAAAGGGGGTGGAGGCACAGAAATAAAGATGGTGGAAGCACAGAAATAAAGGTGAGGAAGGAACAGAAACAAAGGTGGTGGAGGCATAGAAACAAAGGGGGTGGAGGCACAGAAACAAAGAGGTGGAGGCACAGAAACAAAGGTGGTGGAGACACAGAAACAAAGGTGGTGGAGACAGAAACAAAGGGGGTGGAGGCACAGAAACAAAGGGGGTGGAGGCACAGAAACAAAGGGGGTGGAGGCACAGAAACAAAGGGGGTGGAGGCACAGAAACAAAGGGGGTGGAGGCACAGAAACAAAGGGGTGGAGGCACAGAAACAAAGATGGTGGAGGCATAACAACAAAGGTGATGGAGGCATAACAACAAAGGTGATGGAGGCATAACACAAAGGTGATGGAGGCATAACAACAAAGGTGATGGAGGCATAACAACAAAGGTGATGGAGGCATAACAACAAAGGTGATGGAGGCATAACAACAAAGGTGATGGAGGCATAACAACAAAGGTGATGGAGGCATAACAACAAAGGTGATGGAGGCATAACAACAAAGGTGATGGAGGCATAACAACAAAGGTGATGGAGGCAGAGAAACAAAGGTGGTGGAGGTACAGAAACAAAAGTGATGGAGGCAAAGAAATAAAAATGGGGAAGGCACAATAAAGATAATGGAGGTACAGGCACAAACGTGCAAGACACAAATATTGATAAACAATGCTGATGAATACACAGAGACAAGGGTGATGGAGGAAGAGAAAAGTGATTAATGTGCAAAAAAATGACTGACAAATACTGAAGATAGACACACGCGGACGGGGCCATAAATAACATAGGAAAAACATAGAAAAATGAAAAAAATAATCAAGAATCAGAGGATATAACAACTGTAACTCGCCAAACTAGGTTGAAACAGTGACCAGAAATGGACACACAAACATAAAAAGCTTTGGGGACTTCAGCAACGTAAAACTTACAAACTTAGGCTTGAGAACCTGACATGACAATAGATGTATCTTATCACTGATGGCTGGATAACATTAAACTCGAGATGGTAAATATAGCCATGGTAACAGGCAAGATGTAAATTTCACAAAGGTAAGAGTAGCAGCTTCCGACCAGGATGAATTATTTTCAAATATCTTCAATAACTTCAATTTTAATGAATATATTGAACATCATCAAAATCCTCAAATTGTCTAGTTAGAAAAATTGCTTCTCTAAAAAAAATTTTTTTTTAAACTAATATCCATTGTTCGTATACTTTCTTCAGAGTAATAACTGGGTATATTATATAGTATTAAGGTTTATATTAAGGTATAATAATCACTTTCTCAGTAAAACCTTTCTAATTCGATCATACTCACACTACCAACTGTAACAACAACTAGCACTCATATTTCACTTCACTTCTCTTACTCACAGAACATTGAATTTTCACAAGAACGTTTTTCATATATTGCACATCTACGATATATTACAGAACAATTAATTTAAGACTCCAAGTTGTTACTAAGTGCTAAGATAAGTGCAAGTTGGTGTGGCTGCCAGGAAGGTTGGTAGTCCTGGTGTGGCATGAATCAGCTGACACAAGACATTACAACTTACCTGTATAACAACACTCAAGCTTCCTCTTGGTAAACCTCCCTCTCCACACCATACAACAATTCACTTCATGGAGGCACTCATTTAAACCACCTGACACTAAAAATCCAATAACTGCGCGTAGAGTAGTAACCGCCCAGATTAACCACTGAACAAAGACTCGCTAGAGCGTCATTTTGCAAGTTTTTTCAACACACCGAGAACATTCACCGCCGTAATTTCCGCAGCATTGGTAGCATGCACCTAACTGGTCATTCTCACATCACTTAAGTCAATTAGTGACCAGAGTAGGCAGAATTCGGTCAACATTTTGTGAGTGTGAGGAGTGTTGGGTGTAGTGTAGCAGCCAGACGTGTTGTGAGGCGGCCAGCTGATTGCCACAACACTTACTCTCGTCCCCAGACACTCTCTCCCCTAGCAACTCCCTTTTTATTTATATATCAACTTCTTTGTTCATGTTATTTCTTAGTCTTCCCACTACTGTATTATCCTACATACTCCATGACAGATACATCGTCTAATACAACCAACTCTAAGGTTACTACATAACTACGGATTTTTAGATGTCACTGCTGCTAACATACATAAACGATCGATCAATTGTCAGTAGAATATTGCATGAGGCTGCGCCCAGGGGACTGACTGACTCGGACTGACTGACTTTGATTTTGGCTGACTGACTGATTCTTGACTTTGACTGACTTTGCTTGACTGACTTCAACACTAACCAACTACTTGATAATTTATTTTGCCTGATTATTAATGTAAGCACGACGTATGTCTCACTTCCACTAGTCGCCAATATGTTCATTATAATAATAATAATAATAATAATAATAATGAAAAAATAAGAAAAACTATTGAGATAACGAAATTAAAGTTACAAGAGAACCCAAAGCAAATTCGAATGGTTTCTTTCAAACTGACCAGGTTACTAAATAATGATAGAGATGTATTCAACTATTAACAATAAATTCCTGTTGATCTGTACAGAAGACACATGTGAAATATCAGTAATTGATAACTTAAGATTGTCAGTAGAATAAACCTTGGTAATAGATACCAACAAATTAGTTGAGAAGACGTGAGAAAGGTCCCAGGGCCGAAACGTTTTGTCCTAACGTTTGCTCAGGTGTCTTTTTAAACCAAAAGTCAGTAGTAAACAAACTACATACTATTAGTCACTAGAGACCTGATTATTAACTAAGTTGACCAGTTAAAGCAAAGTCACTGGTCCCGACAAACAGTTGTCAAGGACAAAAGTAATCCTCCAAACTACTCCATTCAATTAATAAGAAAAACGAAAGAAGGAGAACTTCTGCAGGTCTACTGTCCCATGCTAGGCAGGTCCACCTTACACCTGCCCACACCTATTCATGTAATTGTAGTAGTAGCAGCAGCAGCAGCAGAACAGAAGTAACTTCTTGTTATCGGGTGACAGCAGGTTCGTCGTTTTAAGAAGGCTTTGTTCTAATATTTCAGTCATGGAGATTAATGACACTTCAGGGTATTTTCGTCTGCAGGTGTCTGGTTGGTTAATCACCCAGAGGGCGTCGTTCAATATCAAGTGGCTGGTGGTGTTCAGGTGTTGTGCACGTACGTTGTTCAGGTTGTCACAGGTGCACACACACACGTTTTCCATCATTAGATGTGTTACAGGGCCTCGTGTTGTTTCGCCAACATATCCCTCATCACATCCTCCACAAGGGATCATGTGGTTTATGATTCTCAACTTTGATGGTAGTGAAGTCTTTGGTGGATGTGCTGGAAGTTATGGTGACTCCAGCGTTACCTTTAGTCAGCACTTTGGAGAAGTTCAGGGTAACTTGGCTGTTGAGAAGGACAGTTACTTCGTTCAAAGTGATGTCAGCGAGTGGAGAAATGGGGCGAGGGGCTCCTTTCTTGCAGTTTTTAATGAAAAAAATGAAGGAAAGTGTTGGTGGGTGAAGATTTGGTGAATGTAGAGTATTTGTCATTGAGAAACTCAGGGCTGTTGGCGTAATATGTTTTCAAGAATAAGTCAGTGATGGTGCCTCGTTTAGTATTCTCAAGAATAAGTCAGTGATGGTGCCTCGTTTAGTATTCTCAAGAATAAGTCAGTGATGGTGCCTAGTTTAGTATTCTCAAGAATAAGTCAGTGATGGTGCCTCGTTTAGTATTCTCAAGAATAAGTCAGTGATGGTGCCTAGTTTAGTATTCTCAAGAATAAGTCAGTGATGGTGCCTCGTTTAGTATGTTCTCAAGAATAAGTCAACGATGGTGCCTCGTTTAGTATGTTTTCAAGAATAAGTCAACTATGATGCCTCGTTTATTATGTTCTCAAGAATAAGTCAACGATGGTGCCTCGTTCATTATGTTCTCAAGAATAAGTCAGTGATGGTGCCTCGTTTATTATGTTCTCAAGAATAAGTCAGTGATGGTGCCTCGTTTAGTCTTAGTATTTTAACTCAGGTAAAAGTGTCCTCGTATTATTTGTATTGACATAAAAAGCTTCTGAAGAGGGAGTATAGCAATAATGTTACATAAGTTACTCCAGTTACCTTTGACCTGACTTACTGTCGGTAACCTTGCCAATATTTATATAACTTCAATATCATTACACCAGCTTCTGTTTCTTCACATCATATTCTCTGAAAAGTTTTCACATGACACACATATACTGATCTCCTGTGTAACTTGTCTAGTGCAACCCATCTTGCAAGTTCTAGCTGCATTTCTCACATCCGGCTTGCAACAAATTTCTCTACGTACTATATTTAGCTTGGGTTAAGTTTATTTAGTTTAGATTGCCCTCTGTCAATAAAATTTCACCAATTACAACGTACCACAACGGAAATATAAGATAACAATCACACTGGTAGAAAAAGAAGACTCAATAAGCGAAGCAGAACAATCAAACTATTACAATCCCTGTTGATAATGCTATAACATGCCGACAAGTTGATGATTTAAGACATATGTGAAACAGGTGGGTTTCTTTATTGTTGAAACTCCTCGCCTACATAGCAGGCTTCTTCAGGTGTAGTAATGAAATGCAGACAACCTCAGCTTCATGGAGCTGAGGTCGTCTGACTCATCTTAAATACTATTTCTCCAAGGTTGAGGGACTGATAACATCATCTTCATTTGACTGAAGAAGCCTACTGTGTAGGCGAAACGTTTCAACAATAAAGATACCCAGGTGCTGTACATGTATCTCAATCATCAATACATTCACTATGTAAGACACACTAAACAGTCACACGTTTGACTGTCATAGCATCAGTGATACACTGTAAGTAAGAGGACAGCCTCTGCCTGCAGCCTCCCTCTCATTTCAACCTTCAGAAATTATTATAGATCAAACATATCAAAATTTTCTTTATATATATGTACATCCCAAAATCTGCTCTTCAACGAGACCGGCCTCGTTGAAGATACTTAACGAGGCCGGTCTACCAGACCGGCCTCGTTAAGTATCTTATTATAATAAGATACCTTATTATACATCGTATAATAAGGTATCTTATTATGTAAGGTATCTTATTATGTACGATGTATAATAAGTACCTTATTATACATCGTAAGTTTATATATTTTCTTCATTTTTTCGTGAGCATATATTGCCCATTACCGAACCGTTTTATAAATACAACCCGGTTAAACGGCATTGACCCTTATATTCCTAGTTACTATGTCCTCCACCACAAGTCTCTCAATTAACCTCTCTCAAAACATTCTTTCCTTTGATTCATTAAATCATAATGTCACGATGGCAAACAAACCTCAGTACGAGGGGGATCGAACTCACGGCAGGTGAGCTGTAAAACTCCAGGTCAGCGCGTAAGACATTGGATCAGCTGGCTACAATAAGAGTCATCCAACTAGGTATATTTATACACCATAGGAAGGTTAGCATAGGCCACCACTGTGACCACAAATACAGGATTTTACAGATGTTGATAAATAAACTGTTCAGTACCAGACCAACCGGGCTGTGGTTTGTACGCCAGTTTGCGTGTGGCCAGCAGTAACAGCCTGGTTGATCAGACCCTCATCCACCATGAGGCCTGGTCTCAGACTGGGCCGCCGGGGCGTCGACCCCCGAAACCCTCTGCAGGTAAACACGAATTAGTTGACGTAGTCAGCCAAGATGTTGACCTTCCTACCTTCTTACTCTCACTCCATATGATACAGTCTCCTCTTGAAAGAAGCAAAAGGAAGCCTCCAAGACGGTGTGTATAGCTCTTGAGACCTACAGTGTTCCATCACCTACAGTGTTCCATCACCTACAGTGTTCCATCACCTACAGTGTTCCATCACCTACAGTGTTCCATCACCTACAGTGTTCCATCATAATACAGTAACGTCAGAGTCTATTTTGTTGTATGTACTCAGTGACTGCGATATTCGTCCTCTTTTACGGACGTGAAAAAATGAAAACGATCCGTCTTCTTATCAAAGAGGAGTGTATATACACTGAGTTGTATATCACTCAGTGTATATATACTGAGGTGTATATCACTCAGTGTATATATACTGAGGTGTATATCACTCAGTGTATATACACTGAGTTGTATATCACTCAGTGTATATACACTGAGTTGTATATCACTCAGTGTATATACACTGAGTTGTATATCACTCAGTGTATATACACTGCGAGTATACTTTACACATTAGTTTAGGTATAAAAGTATTTTTGGCTAGTGATGCACAGTTGTAACACGGTTGTAACACGGTTATAACACGGTTGTAACACGGTTGTAACACGGTTGTAACACGGTTGTAACACGGTTGTAGCACGGTTGTAGCACGGTTGTAGCACGGTTGTAACACGGTTGTAGCACGGTTGTAACACGGTTGTAGCACGGTTGTAGCACGGTTGTAGCACGGTTGTAACACGGTTGTAGCACGGTTGTAACACGGTTGTAACACGGTTGTAGCACGGTTGTTGCACGGTTGTAACACGGTTGTAGCACGGTTGTAACACGGTTGTAGCACGGTTGTTGCACGGTTGTAACACGGTTGTAACACGGTTGTAGCACGGTTGTAGCACGGTTGTTGCACGGTTGTAACACGGTTGTAACACGGTTGTAGCACGGTTGTTGCACGGTTGTAACACGGTTGTAGCACGGTTGTAACACGGTTGTAGCACGGTTGTTGCACGGTTGTAGCACGGTTGTTGCACGGTTGTAACACGGTTGTAGCACGGTTGTAACACGGTTGTAGCACGGTTGTTGCACGGTTGTAACACGGTTGTAACACGGTTGTAGCACGGTTGTTGCACGGTTGTAACACGGTTGTAGCAAGGTTGTAGCACGGTTGTAGCACGGTTGTAATACGGTTGTAGCACGGTTGTAGCACGGTTGTAACACGGTTGTAGCACGGTTGTAACATGGTTG